ATACTCGACCGCATCTGGCTTTCAAGTAGACTGAGACCATGTCATACTTTCTTCCTCCAAAACTGCCTCCTCTTGCTTACCTTGAGAGAACACTATGGCATCAACCTATTGTGGATTTCCCGTTTGAACACCTGAACATTTCCAAGGAGAAAAATTTTAAACCAAAATGGTACGGCAGTGTAACTTGGTAAAGTTACTGGGTTAACAACCTCGATACCAGCGCGTGCCGAGCTGCGTCACATGTGGCAGCTTGTTCCACAAAGCGCCCTCGGTTTCATCATGGCACCATAAGCTTTTAACCAGGCAACTATTACCAACTTACACGCCACGAAGGAGGTGGGGTCATAGACCACAGAGTAAGGGGAGTATTGCAAGGAAAAAAAATTCAAACAACAAAGGTTCCCTCCACAACAAGGGACAAGGAATTAAAATCCAACGACGGATTTGTTTTAAAGAGATTCAAGTGTTCTGCTGGGACATCCACAATCAGTCGATACAGTGTCCTATATTATCCAACCACGGCTGATCTGCTGGTACCTAAATGGCAACTTCTCTTGTAACTCACTTAACATCGCCCTTGAAAACTTGGAGCACGTCTAACGAGACTTTAAAGTAAATGAATGCAATAAACACAGCGAAATAATTAAAATGCATATTCCAACGATCTTATACGGGTACAGCGTACAGGCATTCATGGCCTAGCATTCACCTACGGTCGAATGAGCTCAACAACTATGGACGACAACAACGGCAAGAGTACAATACCGGGGGACAGCAACGAAAAACACTACTACTACTGGTACATCATCCCAAGGCAACTAGTCTACATCCTCACAGGGCAACGGCTGAGCGAGAGGAATCAAGGGTTCTTGTTCTGACACTTTCCGAGGGTGGAGGTGCTGGCGGTGCTGCAACACCGGTTCTTCTTCTCTCGGGTGGGTGGATAGGGATCCCTTCCAAGATCAGGGCATCCTGCCCTTCAGCAGCCAGCGTCCTCCGCTCAGCCCTGGTGACAAGATAGGCCACCCGCAGCTGATGAACATGTCGATCTTCGACCTCCTTTAGAGCTTCCTCCATGGCAGCCTCTCGGCTCTCAGCAGCTGCAGCGCTGGCATGCGCTTCGACGAGCTGCACCTGGAGCATCCGGTTGAAGATCTCGGCTTCCTCAGCGTGCCGAAGGCACGCCCTCAGCTCCAAGGCTTGACAGTCATACTGCTCATCCAGAGCGAGCAGGTATGTGGTCAAGTGCACCATGGTGGGACTGTCCTCTTGCACATCCCGTCCTTGCAAAGCCTCCATGCGGGCCCTCCATGCCCACCGATTCTTGTCCAAAGGAGGAAAGAACCGCATGGGGGTATGGGCTAATGGGCTCCTCATAGATCTGGTAGAGGTACCGCAAGGCTTTGCGGGCCACAACCTGGTAGGTGTCGATGAAGCGAAACCCAGTTGCGGTCACACTCTAGGCTTCAGTGAGGTCGGGGAACTCTTCACTCTTCCTGATATAGACGGTAACCTCACACCGCTCGGTGCCATGCTCCTCATACTCACGGCCCTCATACTTGGGTCGATCATTGACTCCGAGCTTTTGCAGGGTGGCATGCAAGATTCTGGGAAAACCCTCAACATTCATGCAGTAGGTACTAACCCAGGCTCCTGCCATCTCTGGTGGTGGTTGCAAGGAAGGCTGAGCGAAAAGCTGGCTCAAGAAAAAGCTAAGCGAGATAAAGTGCGTCGAGTGGTGGTACCAATGGCTAAGCCAGGCTCTACTTATAAAGGCGGAGTGTTCAGTGGTCCTGGCACGGTTCACCAGGTTTCCCGCGCGAGATCACTACGGCGGATCGACCAAATTCCTCGCGTTGGAGGCGAGCGACGTGCGATGCCATTACTGACTAGTACGACTGTAGGGCAAGGGTCCGACAAGAGCGCAGAAAGGGGTATGGAGAGATGTGGGTCGCGACCGGCGCGAACCACGGGCGAACGCAAAACACAAAGCCCTAGTGCAGACCTAACTCTAGAACATGAACGAGTCATTCGTGCACAATATGACATGGAGGGCATATCTACAAGCAATATGAGCGCTACAATGCATAACCAGGATATGCATGAATGCACGTCCTATACGTCCGTCCACTGTTGCCAACATATAGGGCAACCGTCCTCAGATTTTGGCACATCGTTCTCTCCCTGTAACTAGTCGATACTATTGAACTATGCTCAAGTTAGTGTACTTGCAGAAAACTTGATCAAGCCTATCTAAGTCAGCAGAGTGCCATCTATCCTGGATACATAACCATAGTAATAGGGCTACTTATATAACTTCGCATATAAACGTTCTAACTTTTTGCAACAATGGGTTGTCAAATTTTAGTTTAGAAAAGGTTTTCGAAGCTTTATTTCCTCATTTATGCTCTGATACCACCTGTGACAGAACCGCCTAATCTAATGCCTCACATGAGTGCTTGTCTTTCATTAGACACTAAGCACTCAAGGGAGAACACTAAATTACTCGGTTTCGTCGGGCACACCCCAGGAGAGAACCCAAAAATCCACATTTTTGCCATCAGGATCACAAATGAGAGAATAAAGCTTACATCGTTTAACCATTTCTTACATCACTTTTAATACAACATTAGAGTATAACATTTATTATTATAACAGCGGAATGAAATCATATTATCAGGGTTATAATAATTTAATTGAACAGTGGAATATAAACATGTGATCAGTATTACAGCGGAAATAAATATCTATTAATGACATGATGAAGTATTGATATGTAAACTACGACAACAGATTATGAAACTTTCGTTTGTAAAAGTATTTGGTGAGAGTTATAATAACAACTACGATCGCAGCGTAAAGGAATCCTCGCTGAGCCCACCAGGAGGAATCCACACACAAGAGTCAGCTTTAGCATCCACCTGTCACCTGCAACAGGGGGAATAAAACCCTGAGTACTCAATTGTACTCAGCAAGACTTACCCGATAGGAGAAAAGAAAAGAAGACTCCAAGGATATGCAAGGTTATCTGGTTTGTGGGTTGCATTTGCAGAAAGCATTACTAAGTCTGCGTCCTTATATTTGATTTTTAGTAATAGCCGCATTGGTTCATTAGCTAACCATTCTATGTAAGCACATGTGCTACTTTCAAGCAAGTGGTAAGCAATCAGATTTCCTTTTTGTCCATCTTCCATCTTTCATCTTCAGTTCTTACTACGATGCTAAACCGTAGACAAGCCATACCGGATAGCCCGGCGATTCGCGAATCAATGCCCCCAGCTAGGTACCCCAAAAACACATGCCCCGCTGGTACCTCGGGCACAAGCAGGACCAACCTATCACTCTCCTATCCTGGGTGTCCAGGTCCCCGTCCAAACTGGGACCCCAAGCCCCTGCCCCTGAGTCCTAGACTCAGCGCGGTGCAAGGATCTCCTCCACCAAAATAAAACCCTAACAATCGGCCCGGAAAGAGCCGGATCCGCGACAAGAGAGCAACAAGTCTTCCAAGCGCCCATACACAAGTATGTGCTCGGGATAATAAGTCTGTGACCTGCCTAGAGTCATATGCAATGATCGGTCCTTAACCGACCAGACAGGGAAAAACGGTGTAACCAAGCTATGACCCGCCTCCGCGGCGACACAACTTCTTACACCCACCAATACCCAAACCATATCCCTGCTCGGTCACCCTTTTCCTTTCCACCATTTTATATATTCCAGGTGATAATCATATAGTAACATATTTCCTATATCTCGCGAGTGACGGCAATCACTCGACTTCTACCGGAGTCCTGTAGCATAGCAATCTACAGGATCCGATCATACTAGTAAGACTCATAGGATAAAGATATATATATGCAAGTGGGTTTCATTCAACTCCTTAAAACTTAATGCACAAATATTATTTAAACTACAGAAAGTAGGGGTTATGCACCGGGGCTTGCCTGGGAAAAATATAATCAAAAGTTAGCTTTCCATCATGGCGACACGATCTCCAAAAGCACCATTCCTTCAGCAACTCCCGATGACTCCGTGATCCATCGACGTACCTATATGATATGCATGCGATGCAATGCAAAGATGTAATTAATCAACTGCAATCGCGACTCGTAAAATACGACGTACGCCTCCCGAGGTAACGGGCTAGTTCTAACGATGACCGTACTTAGGCTACATATACACTTTGTCGGATAAGACGTTATTTCCCAACGATTAGTGTAGTTATATAAACCAACGGTGTTTTTCTATTCCATTCTTTCCATTTGATCTTTACTTGGGATAGGGCATCATCATCTACCTAGCAAACTAATTATTATTGAGCTAACAAAAATTACAGTGAGTAGATAATAATATTAGTGGTTTACCATCAAATTTTTAGAGTCAACACTATTACCGATTTATCCCGGAAATTCCTACAAGTTCATCTTTTAAAAATATTAAGCATTTTAAAATACTTATATAGCTCCCAAAAATATTGCCAAACTTTGTGAACAAAATATTCTAACAGATAGAGCATAATTTTAGGAGACTAACAAAACTGGTTTCACAATTTTTAGACACTTACACAATTTTATCTTGCTTTTACAAGTTAGCTAGAAACATATATTAGCAAAACATTTATAAAATAGAGAGCCGGCGGCCACGCCCTATCAGCCCAGCAGCGCAAGAGTAGCCCAGGCGCTGCAGTCCTCAGTAGACCGGCCCAACGCGCGCGTAGCCGATGGCCCAGGCGGGGCGCGCGGCCAATGGCCCAGCGGCTGGGAGCGGGGCAGCGGCCCAGCACAGGCAGCGGCCCAGGCGCAGGTCACAGCGCGGGTGGCCCAGCAGAGACCGGTGGGGCGCGAACGGCCTAGGGCTCAGCAACGGCCCAGTCGCGATGCATTTTTGCAGAAAACCCCTTCTACGTTTGTCCAGTCGCCCGAACCCGATTTGCACAATTCAAATGAGTCGAGTACTTCGCAGAAAACACCCTGCGTATTTCTATTTCTTGGATTTCTCACCTTCTCACCTTCCTTCTTCCCAGGGACAGAGCGCACGGAACAGAGGAACTGAGGAGGCCAGCCGCCGGCCTCGGAAATGGCTCGCCGACGACGGCACTGTCGCGGGGCGGCCCACGGAAACATCCACGGCTCCGGCCGCACCCGAGAACGGCAACCGCATGGCCGGGCGGGACCGGTGGAGCGCTCAGCAGCGGATGCGATGTCCGCGCCATCGCGGACGTCGCCCGCACGAAGCGAGGCGCCAAGGGAGAGGCGCGGGGCACCATACGAGACGCCTGAGCGGACGCCTCTGCCGTGCGGTCTTCGTGCGCTGAGCGCACCTGCACAGTCGAGTGACGAGCTCTAGGATAGGGTGTCTGCCACTAGAATGAATAGCCGCGCGGAGCTCGCCTGGGAACCTCCCGCCCGGCGCCTCCGGGATGCCCCTGGAACAGTGCGTTGCGAGGACGACGCTGTTGGCGGCGAGCAGGCGGACCGAGCCCGGTGCGTGGCGGAGCTCCCACGGGACGAACGCACCGCCTCCTGCGGCGCGAAGGGGGAGACATGGAGGCAGGGCAGCCAGGCGAGCGCCCGCATCCCAGCCACGCGAGTGGAAGGTGCCTCCACGAGGACCGCGATGTTGGCGACCTACAGCTTCTCCTCGAGCTCCTAAATCCGGTGCTGGTGCTCCACTAGGAGAGACTCCACGGGCTCCCTCTCCTAGATGGAAGCAGTGGCGGCAGAGACGGGTGGCGCGGCATGGAGCAAGCGGACGCAACGGAGTTGGGAAAGGAAAGGAACAACGCTCGTATGTGGTGCTGCGTAGTGATGCTCCGGCTGCTGGCCTGGTAGAAGAAAAAGGAGAGCAAAGAAGGACGGCAGGAGACAACAGTGGTAGAGGGAAAGTATCGCAATGACCAGCAATGAAAGACAAAGACATGACCGGAGAAGACAGGAGCAGACAGGGGCAGGCAGAGGCAGGCACAGCCAGACACCGATAGAGTGAGATAGAGAAAATGCGGGACGATGACATTACACGGGTCGGCCATCAGGGCGTCCAAGGAGCAAACAGCAGAGAGGGGCAAGGCCAGGATGAGCAGAGGACACGATGTTTGTTGACGCTGCAAGCCACTGCCGCCGCATGCAAAAATTTTCTACCAGGAAAAGAGCCCGGTGGATAGACCAGAGATGAGGTGATAATGACATGAGTACAGTACAGTTACATATTATATATAGAACACGTACTACACTACACTAGTGCAGACACGTCTAGTCTAGCATGACAGTACGTCTCATGAGACCCAATCAAGTCACGTCAAGAAAATTAAATGACTACTGTACTTTATCTCATTATGTGTTTATGCATCGTCCGATCCGATTAACTTCCACCAATAATTATTTCATGCAAAAGTTCGTACTTCGCACTAACCCATAGAGATAAAATATTTAAGCACTATTTAATTACTTTGCCCAATATAGTTTGTCAAAAATGGCATTTTAAACATAAACTCAATTATTTTAAAATTTAAAATTTTAAAAATCCGAGAGACTCATTCTGGAAATTTTTCTTAGGCCTAAATCCCGGTGTTAAACGAGCTCGTAACACTAGGGGTGTTACAATTAATATGTGTTTGATGTGAGATACGCAGGTGATTAGTCCATAGGTACACTAGTGTGAGCAACATGTGCCATGATGGTGAAATGGTTTGGAGTATCATGTTCTATAATGTCTCCATGTTAGTTAGGAATCGAGCAGAGGAACTATCTCTTGGTAATGAGGGCACATACCTGTGTTGACACCAGAAGTGGCAAATGGGTAAACCGCAAGCGTAAGCTTGTCAATGTAGCCTTCACCAGGAGTATTCCAGGTGTTGACGGTTGTCAACGTCAACTATAAACCATCAATATGCCTTATATTTATCCTTTAATTCAATCACCAACATTGTATTAGTACTTATTTCTAACAAGTTCCACGAGTTTTGATCCTCTATAGTTGTTTTGCAAGAATTATTCAAAATGCGTGTTAAAAGATAATGCATAATGCATATACAGCTTGGTGAAAATCAGCCATGAAAAGGAATTCGAATTTTTACTGTAGCAAATCAGACTCAAATAAATATGTGTAGTTGACCATCGTCGAGCTGATCAAAATGAATATATTATTTTCTATATTTAAAGCCCTGAATGAAAAGATATAAATTCTGCAAATAAAAGGAAAAGTCCACATAATCAAGATGCAGGATTGGTTGGGCCCACCACCTATGGCAGGTGCTAGCACCCGCACAAGGAGCAGGCCGAACACGTGGCAACGTAGGATTGGCTCTGACTATGGTCCTACAAACACCAACCCAAACGTGGTCGACTACATCTGCCATCAGGGCTGTCACCACATGGGGCTACAACAACTATCCGTGGGGTTGGGTGCAATCTCAGGTAACTCATAGTCTAGACACCGCGTCTACACTATTAATTACTACTCTAATCACATATAATAACTAGAGCACTCGATGCGAGTGCAGATCCCATGCCAAGGTATAATAACTATACTAACCACACATATGAAAGCATAAAAGTAAATAGAGAAGATAATTGTATCTAAAGCATAAGTCTTGCAAAGGTAAGATACAAAGATATACCAAACCTCTGAAGATTTCCCCAAAACCTGAGCGTAGCTCGACTCTCCCTAACTCTCAACTTAACTAATCTAATTATACATCTTGAAAGTGTTGTGGAGATATCTCTCTTGTTGTTGCCTCGATCCCGAATGAGATAGCCTCCAGGAGGGGCCTGGGTGCCTTTATATAGGGGGGAGGTAGAGTAGCAGCCAAGGAATCGAGGTGGAGTAGCGGCCAAGGACTCTAGGTGGAGTAAGGCGCAAGGAATCATCACGTCATTGATCCACGTCAACTCTCCCAACCACCGTTGGATAAATCGACTTAAAACCGCCTTAGAATCAACGGTGTAGATCGTAGGAAGGAATACGAGGTGGCGGGAGGTGATGGGCCACCCCCATGGGCCGAGCAGCCTCCCTAGTGGGCCGGGCGGGCCACTATAGTGCTAGGTGGGCTCCTCCTTCTAGTGGCAAGGCTAGGGCTCTATCTTGAATCGTCATTCACAGGATTCGCGGGTTGAGTCACTTGTGGTCGTCGGTTTGCTTGTTTGGAGTGTATGACAGTGGTCCCGGGAGCTGTTTTCTGGATAAATCCTCCTGCAGTCATGAAATCACCAAAGCTCATGGAATTTATTAGTTTAAACCCCTAAACCTTCATTAGTGATTACATTTATGCCCTTATACATGTTTAATTGATGGTTTTATAATGGTTGTTAACTACCGTCAACACCTACTTATTGAGAATACACTGGCTATTCATATGTTTGTACTTATTTTTGTCATGGTCAAAAGCAGTATGATTCTCAATTAATATAGATGCTTTCATGTTTACTCATCACACCCTTAGATGCTCTCATGACCATCGGCTGTTAAGACCAATACATTTAAATATTTGATAATTGCTGACATGCTTATTTTATTCGGTTTGCATCATGAACATGCTTGATATTGACTCTTTAGTCGATAGCCTTATTTCATCGACTACTTAGCCGCATATTTGGAACTATCTAGAACAACACCGGCATGTTCCATCTTAAATTACTGATTGTTGATATTTCTTAATGACTATTGGAGGATTCTGCAAGCGCACAGAACTATCGCGTAGCACTTCGCTCGGTGAGTACCGAGTGTTAAATTTATATTTTTTCCCACAGGAAGGTGAAAGGCTAGAATTTATATATGACTAGGATTTGTTAAAGGTAGGTATTAAGTTGATCCTAGGTAGGTGAACGATAGTGAAGGATGGGTGTCAACTACCTAAACTAACTACTAAATACAAGCTAACCAGAGATAGCTAGGTGGGAGAGCGAGCGATATATCTTTCTAGTAACTAAGGGTAGACAAATAACTAGGAGAAATACGATAGTACTTTGGGGCACAACCCGCCTACCAACTAGGAGAGTTAAATAGAGAAGGTCTGCCATGAGCCCTATGATTTAATAACTAGACCTATCGTGGTGGAATACAAAGGATGGACAAGGCTGTCACTACTTGCCACCTACCACAATCTATCTGGAGGCCTAGCCGTATCCACAGGTAATCTATAGCCTAAGCACCACATTTAATCTATAAACTTACTACTTCGATCCGAGCTCCGATCAAATGAGATCAAAGCACCCTAACCAGACGGTGGAACCGATACTAACGAAAGACTACTAATGATAAGATAACATGTGCTACTAATGCCAAACAATAAGCACCTAAGCTCACTAATGATGAACACTAATGACTAAGTACTTAAAGTAAAACAAGCAATACTAGAATAAAGTACTAAAATAAATACTGAATAAAGTAATGCAGAAATGAAAGAATTACAAAGGAGCTATACTAGACCCAGAAAACTCTTCCAGACTCCGAGAAGCTCTGCTCTTACTCTACTCCACTACTAGACTACTACTCTATAGCTAATGCTAAGCTAGAAAGCTAACAGAAGCTTGGAGAGCTTGGAAATGAATGGGACACTTCTCCACTGAGCTCCACAACCACTATTTATAGTGTATAGTGAGGGGAGGGGTATTTGTAGGTAGTGGCAAGGTCGATGGAGACTTGGGCACCGGGTGGCCTAGGTGGGGCGCCGCCCGGCCCTCCATTCCACCGCCTTATGATCCAACAGCGATGGTTGGCTCCCAATGACGGTTGTAGAAGTAGCACATGGTGAAACTTGGTCGGTAAGTCAGTTGGTAAGTCGGTGGAGAGCTCCCAAGTCTTTGACAATGGGCCCATGAATCCACCAGCATCAAATCTTGTCCGTTGATCAAACCGACTTGAATGGAAGCTTGTGATTGGCTTATGAGCAGCTCCCACGGATAGGTGACATGGCAGGGCCACTTGGCGAGCCAGGCGGTGCCCTAGTGGGGCCAGGCGGCGAGCCCAAGTGGGCCCAAGGCCTCCTGCCATGTCCATGTGCTCCATATGTCCATATTTGTCACCTTTTTTTTTGCCAAACTTTGGTATATTTCTTGCATACAAATAATTCTACAAGCACAAGTGGAACTAGGTGAATTATAAACAAAATTCTTCACATGTGATGATGATTTACCTCACTTTACCATGCTTTTGGGTGGAATGTTGATGGTCAAAACGGGTGTTAGTGACCGTCAAAAAGCTCCCCCAAGCTACCCCTTTGTTGTCCTCAGCAAAGATGAGGGTTTAGCATGGAATAGGTTGTCGGATCAGGAGTTGCTACTATGTAACACCCTGCAAAGACTTGTATACAAATAAATACTATCTCTTGAACATGTTAGCACTTAGAAATTTCACCATCAGTCTTAGCAATGTGGGACTTATAGCTTTCACCTTGATACAAGCAGTTGCAAGAATGTGTAGCTAGATAGATACTTTTTGCCTACTTTAGTTTAGCTCAAACTTCCCGGAGGTTTTCACATGATTTGAAAAGAAAACTTGCCTAAGTTCCTCAGATGGTACACTCAAGTCACTCAATGGTGTTTGAAATCCTCACCAAGGCCATGAATTTTAGCCTTAGTTT